ATAAAGGCTTATTAAATATTTAACTTTGAAATAAAATTTAAATAATTAAATGTTCTGATTGATAAATAAAAGATGGTTAAAATAAAATTCATCTATAATTAACTGGTGATGGGTGTAGTTTATCCATTAAATGAAAAAGTGTGGGAAAGACAAAAGGCGGTACAGAGTCCCTAGACCATTTCTTTGTGATGAAATCAACTGTTTTCTCATCAGAAACACCCATTAGTCAGCACCATGTGAAAGAACAACGGAGGCTTTAATTATTTCTTTAATTTTAAGCATTGAAAAATATAATTTAATTTAAATCATAAACCTGGATTCATGCAAAACCACTTCTTCCAACGCGCAATGTCTTGGGGGAATGAATCTAAAAACCAATTCTGGATTCAATTTTACATAGGCCCACTATGGGGCATCCGTCTCAATCCAATTTATTTCGTTCACAAATGTCATGATTTAAACTCCTAATATTACTTAAGAAATTTAATGTTTTACCTCACTAGATTAATTGCATAGTAGTAGAATTGAATATCATTTAATTATATATTATGTGAAGGGTTGTTTCTGTTGTTAGTTAAGGGAAGTTGCTTCCTGTGCATATTTCTAACCATATTATGAAGTTAAATCGTTAAATAATGCAAAGCCCCGACAAAGCAAGCAAATCCATGTTCCTAAGTATATTTTTTTATTAATTAATTAATTTTGCATCACAGGCAAGTAATCAATTAAAGGCAGCTTTGTTCTTTTCAAAGATTTTTATTATTATAATGGAAATATTATTATATAATTCATATACCTTTTCGGCTTTAATGTCAGTTAAGAAAACAAATGCAATTTGAACTTTTTATGCATTTAATGAGTTGATTTAAAAAAAATTTAAATTAGATTTTTTATATTCTTTTAAAATACTATTTTCGAGTAAAATGTGTTTCTTTTAATGAGATATGATAGTAGATCAATAACTTCAACCATTATTAACTAAGATAAATGAATAAAATAAGAAAAAAACTGAACATTTGATTCAATAATTTACATTTAATTCTAGGTCAAGTCTTAGGGTTTTTATAGTTAAATATAATTTTTAAGATTATTTTTACGAAACATTTTTTAAAAAAATTTATATTTATTAACAAATTTGTCATACAAAATTATATTTAGATATTTAAACCACTTAATTTTTTTAACAAATTTATATCTAGATACTTTGTATTAGTTCACCAAAATAAACAAAGAAATCTTACCCAAATTGTCATAAAATTTACAAATTTTACAAAAATAGAATCAGATTAAAAGAACTTAAAAAATGTAGGGGGCAAACAAAATAATCTTTTTTTAGTTATTAATTACAAGGATTAAAAAGAAATTGGAGGAAACAGTATAGGGCTCAAAGAAAATTTGACAAATTTAGGGCCAACCTTTTAGATTCGGCCCTGAAACAGGTGATAAATTAACGAGAGCATAACTGGATAGTTAATGATTAGAACCATGCATGCATGGCAACGTGGCGCTTGAGCATAAGATCCAAAACATGCCAATTATGCATGCAATCTTGTCAGTTTGATCCATCGACATGTATCCATTATACAAGTGCTTAATAAATTTCGAGGTACAAACAAAGTACAGCAATAAATTAATTTAATTTGAGTTTGTTGGTGTATATCTTAAGATTAATTTATCTTTTTCCTATTAAAAACAAGTACTTGATGTTACGTGTTCAATAAAGTTTATGAAATAAGTATGTTCTATAAGAAAAGCATAATAGCATTGATGAAAAATGATAAGTCTGAATGATGCTACTCCATATGCTTCATACTTGACCTAGGATGGTCATTCGCTACTATCATCTGAAAGACACAAAGATTAATGGAATGGCCTACTTTTTCAATACGACTAATTTACACGACATTCTGACTAATGATAACAATAAAGAGGAGAGAAGAGAAGTTGGAGCATAATAAAATAATGGAGTTGACAAAGCAATAATAAGGGATATGCTATGTTTATTATGATAATAAAAAGGGTTTGACCTTGTTTTGCTTAACCCTTAAACTACGCCTACTACATGTATAACAGTGCATCTATTCATGGAGACGGTAGTGCCGGCTACACCCTACAAGATATAGGGCATTCCAAGGCAAAGGTTTCACTTACAAGGAACAGACAAGTTAGAATCCTCTACCCTTTCTTCATACCACATAAATTGCATATTCTTATATACAACTAGTGCCCCTAAACAACATGATACTTTAAATATTAGTAAAATAAGGTCTTTGTCCCTCCCAATTTCGAGATTTTAATACTTAATAGATCCTTATCTCTCCCAATGTTTGATCTTGATCCCGATCCTATTCTTGCCCTTAATAATTTTTTTAAAAATTCATATATTCGACATAAAATTTTGCACCCGACTATGAAAAAAAAGTTGAAAAGAAAAAACAATTGAGAGGTGGACCTCAAGTAAATTAGTTTGGAAATTGAATAAAGAATTGCACATGAATGAAGAATAATGACACTTGGCATGTGGATTGTATTATGGTGAGACTAAGACTGTGGTATAATAGGGACAATAATTGGATACGTGAATCCAGTTCCACAGAGAAGATTAGTACGTGCCAACAATTAGCAACAAGCATCTAATTTGTTACTTACTGATCATTAAAGAAATGTTTTTTAAGGCAGATAACAATTGAAAATTAAGAAAAGAAGATTAGAAGTTTAAAAATTAAATTAGATAATATATTATTAAATTATTTTTTTATAAAATTATAATTAAATGATAATCCAATTCCATAAGAACTAGATCGAAAATACTTGATACTTTTTTTAATTCTTATGTTATGTGAGATTTTCACTTTAATAATTTTTTTTTGTTATGACTTGCGATATTTAATTTACTAGTCTACTAGCTCAGATCAAGGCAAAAGTTAATATGGGGATGACAATTTAGTTTGCTAGATTCATAATATCAAAATTCAAACCTCTAACATTATTTAAAGAATCTAATATATGATCCAACTAGACTACCTGATTATTGATACCATTCTATTTTTTTATTGATTACGGACGGGTGACTACATCTCAAAGCATTGACCTGGTTTTTATCGATTTAATTAATCAGTATTGTTTCACCGTCCCATACATCACCCCAACGGCTACTTGGAGAAAAAAATACTGGTTGATTATGGCGGGAATGCTTGCTTTAGCTTTGCTATAAATAGGGCCAATCCTCTTCCCCTTTCAACCACAAAAACTGCAGACTTAGCTTAACCATTCCTACTCATCTTTCAACACTACTTTTCATTACCCTTTTGTTCCAATCATTTCAATGGCAGTTCCTGTGATTGATTTCTCTAAGCTCAAGGGTGATGAGAGGGCCAAAACTCTGGCTCAGATCGCAAATGCATGCCAAGAATGGGGCTTTTTTCAGGTATCCTTTTCTTATCATTGACTATGGGAAGAGAATTTGGCATTGGTTCTGGTACCTGTGTATTCAAATTGTAAAATTATGAACTTTGTGTTGCAGCTGGTGAACCATGGAATCCCAGTAGAGTTGCTGGAAAGGCTGAAGAAGGTTTCATCTGAGTTTTATAAGCTGGAACGTGAAGAGAATTTCGACAAGTCAAAGGTGGTGGAGTTGTTGGATGAGAGTGGTGAAACATTGGAGGATGCTGATTGGGAAGATGTTGTTACTCTGTTGGATGATAATGAATGGCCATCCAAAACACCTGGATTCCAGTAAGCATTTCATGTTTGATTTGTGCTTGCATGTGTATGTTAATGTATGATGTGAATTGTTGATGTTTATGGCAGGGAAACATTGAAGGATTATAGATTTGAGTTGAAGAAATTAGCTGAGAAGGTGATGCAAGTTATGGATGAAAACTTGGGTTTACCAAATGGATACATCAAGAAGGCATTCAGTGACGGAGATGGTGATAATGCCTTCTTTGGAACCAAGGTTAGTCATTACCCACCATGTCCTCACCCTGAGAAGGTGAAGGGTCTTCGAGCTCACACCGACGCCGGCGGCGTGATCTTACTCTTCCAAGACGACAAGGTGGGGGGACTTCAAGTCCTGAAGGATGGGGAATGGATCGATGTTCAGCCTTTGCCAAACGCCATAGTCATCAACACTGGTGATCAGATAGAGGTCCTCAGCAATGGCCGGTACAAGAGTGCTTGGCACCGAGTTTTGAGCTCCATTGATGGGAATAGGAGATCGATCGCTTCGTTTTACAATCCGTCTTTGAAAGCCACCATTGCTCCTGCACCACAGTTGGAGAAAACAAACCAACAAGTGGGAGAAACTTACCCCAAGTTTGTTTTTGGTGATTATATGTCTGTTTATGTTCAGCAGAAGTTCCTCCCAAAGGAACCAAGGTTCCAAGCTGTCAGGGCCATGTAATAGCAAGCAGATACATAAGAAGCTCAAACCTGAAATAATGAGTTTCTTTTCTTTCTTCCCCCCCCCCCCCTTCTTTTGATTGGCTGAAAAAGGAGAGCCCTTTCTTTCCTGGAAAATAAAAATGCAGGAAAGAATATAGAGAGAGCTCAAGGAAGTATACGATATTTTATTAAGAATTTCTACTCTTTATTTTAAGAAACGGCTGTGAGCTTTTGACTTATTTATATACATATAGGCTCTCCTGTTTCCCTTTATTTAACTTTTCACCTTATTTCTATTAAAGTAGATGCCTCTAGAACATGTACCACATGCATCTCAATACAGCACATAGAGGAGGGCAAAAGAAGATCAAAAGTATTTTTGTTCTCTTTCTGATTTATTATACAGAAATATCCTCTGCGTGGACCTATGGGAATATTTTCAACATCATGGAAACTTCCCCTGTAACTCTTCACATACCATTCCCCCCATGATACTGCATAAATATACAGGCAGAAAGTACCAGAGAGAAGTACATGTAAGAGTTTGAGGATAAATTACAAGTTTGATACAGAATACTATCTGATCAGATTCCTTCATAAAATAAAATAATATATAGAAACTTTACTTTTTATTTCAAAGGTATTGCCAGTATCGTGTCTGACCGTATTTGTACAATGCAAGGGAGAAAATTGACCAACTCTACTTTTGTAGGGAAGCATATGTTGGTAATGAATAGCAATCAGATTGTGTATTGAACTCTTTTTTTTTTTACTCTTCCAATTTACATCTGTACATCAATTTACATGGACGTTCAGCCTACCTTGAGGATGAAGATACTACTCTGTGTCAGATGCCTTCGAGGGCTTTTTGATCCAATCTCTCATTCCAGTTCAGGCAGCGAATCAAGCTGTGGAACCAATCACCTGTTTGGTCAGATTTATTGACAGTTGATAGGGGGTGCTGGCTCATAGATATTCTGACCGAATGTCCTCGAGAGAGTTGTTGCCTTCTCTTCCCGTCGAAAGAAACCCAAGCATTGTTTCGAGCATCGTCAGGGATCTGTGAAACCAACAACAATGTTTCAGTGCTTTATATACTATACATAGAATTTGGTAACTTGACTGAGAAATTTCCTTCTGACACAAATGGTGTGATGTTAGCTTTAGAGAACTCGGACAAATTGTGCCATATTCATACAATTCGATTATGCCAACAAATGACCTCAGTTTGTAAAATAGAAACCCACAACTATCCACCAGGCCATAACGTTTATGAAAAAGATGAGAAGCAGTTTCAAAAATACAACTTCGTTTGTGTATGTCTCTACATTTACTCCTTTTAAGCTAACTGAGATTTTAACATCTAATATAGCTATTATTAAGCGCATTACATGAAAAGGAAAAAAAAAAGTGCAAACAGGGTCCAAATGGCCAATAGACGGTAATCCTAGAAAAATACAACAATTATTTGACGTGAAGATTAGAATAGCCACTCAAATGCCTACTCACCTTCGTAATATAGATAATATGCTCACAAACTAAGACATGTATTCTTCCCTTGTTCGTGTCTTTCGACAAGCAACAAACCATAATTCACAACAAAACAGTAATGAACTTTTTCAAATATATCACATGAGAAATAACATATCCATTGAAAAAGTTGAATGTTAGTTTGACACCAATTAAAGAAAAAACGTTAAACTAGTTTAAACCAAAGTAAAAAAAGTCCACCAGATTCTTATTAGATGGGGGAAAGTTCTAAAATGAACTATGAATGGTATATTGGTATTTTCATGTGAATAATTTTACCTTCAATTCAAGCTTTGCAGAATCTGGAAGTATAACTGGTCGAAATGAGAGGGAATGTGGGCAGATAGGTGTAAAAAGCATGCAAGGAACATTTGGATGAACCTGCATTAGTAATAGTATGTTGTTAGTTACAGAATAACCATGATACTCAAAATGATCATATAGAATAAACCTAGTGTTTTTGAAAACTTGAAAAGACAACCTACCATGGAACCTCCTGCAGCTGTAGAATAAGCAGTACTCCCAGTTGGTGTGGCTACTATGACTCCATCACCTTGCACCTAAAGGCATATTTAATTAAACAAAAGCATAGGGAAGCCACAAAATATTGATCACCTCTAAAGCTACATAAGATATATCATTTACAGCCTAGAATAAACTGCCACTTTTGTCGGAACAACAGGTGCCTGAATTATTTATAATCCAAAATGACAGCTAGAACTCACTTTTACATGACAATTGAGGCATAAATTTTTCCTTTTCTTTTCCTAGAAAATAATTAACTAACCTTTGTTATGAGTCGGTCATGCTCATAACATTCAACCTTAGAAAGGTATGGATTAGAACCCCGATCCACAACAACCTCATTTAGGACATCAAATATTTTCCCCGGAACTGCTTTACCATTTCGAAAAATTTCACATCTTAAGCGCATTCTAAGAGTTATATAAACACCATCTGCTGTGTTATTACCATGGATGACCTGCTTCAAGTCTTCCCTGTAGTCTTCAAACTATATCAATCATAAAGGGTAGAAAAAAGTTAAATAAATGGGAAATTATGAGGACACTCAATATCCATGACAAAGATCACAAAAAGTGAGTAACTTACAGTGTGGGAAGTGAGAAATCCAAGAGATCCAAGATTAAATGATACAACAGGAGGTACAGCACCTCTAAATAAATTTGATGCATGCAATATAACCCCATCTCCACCCAAGCATGCCACAAAATCGACCCTCTCATGAAGATCACTTCAAAAGAGCATAAGATCAAGTAGGATTCCAATCAGGTTTGAGGAACACAATATTATTAACTTTATGGAAAAATAAATCATAAAGTACCTGGTATCTTGACTATAGAAGGTTTGAACAAATCCAAATCCAGGGATTCTAGCAAAAATGTCATGGACATCAGGTTCAACAAGAACATTCATGTTCTCTTGATAATGCAAGAAAGAAGCAACCTGCGCATCAAACACAAAAAATGCAGTTGCAACTGCTATGTATCAAACAAGCGACTTTGAGAGTGATTCTTCATTTTGCTTTAGAATAACTCCCTAGAAGATGTTTCCACACCTTACCTTCAACAACAAGCCACAAGTTCAAACATACACACCTCTTCTAACTAATTCCAGCACTAAATACAGAAATCATTCAAGTTACTGCTAATTGGAGTAATCAAATGCACACAGAACAAAAACAGGACTTAAATTGAATGATTGAATCAACTCAAATAAGACCCAAATAAGTAAAACAATTCAAGCAAGTAACCTAGGGGGCTATAAATGTTTATATTCTGCATCATAAACATCCCCTCTTCTGAATAGTTCGAGCACTAAATACTGAAATCGCTCAAGAAGTTCCTGATAATTGGAGTAACCAATGCATCAACAACAAAAACAGGACTTAAACTGAATCAACTCAAACAAGACCCCAATAATTGAAACAATTCAAACATGTAAACTTGAGGCTTATAAATGTCTATATTCTACATAAAAAAAACATACCCCGTCTTCTGACTAATTCCAGAACTAAATACTGAAATCGTTCAAGAAGTTCATGATAATTGGAGTAATCAATGCACCAACAACAAAAAAGAGGAGTTAAATTGAATCAACGCAAATAAGGCCCTAATAAGTGAAACAATTCAAGAATGTAAACTTGAGGGCTATAAATGCCTATATTTTGAATCATAAACTATAAGTGCTGATCTCAGCGTGATTCAGTTTCAGATTATACTACCATATACAGAGACAGAAATGAAAACTTGCTGAAATAGAAACATTCTGGTAAATCGTCAATGTGCAAGGAGTCAATTATTGGCATTAACAAACTATTTAACAAATAATATCTTCAAATTCTACCTCTTTAGCTTCTTCCATTAGTTCAGGCCCCAGCTTCTTTAATAGTAATACAGTCTTTGGTGTAGACTTCCACATAAGCATCTGTTGTTGAGTGCTAGGATGAGTGAAGGCCAAGGAGGATTCAGTCACCTTCTCCCTGGTACAAGAGAATCCATCCGTCCGCACTAAAAACATCTCTGCTTTCTTCCTTGACTGCACTCTTACAACACCAGTTGCAGAAGCGCACATATTTCCCTCAATTGACCCCAATTCATCATCACTTGAATATGTAGAGGCCTTACCATTGCTCATCTTGCTCTTGCTAGAAGAGGTAGATGCCATGTGCTCACTTAAATTCCCATATAAAGTTGCAAATTTGGTTTCAGTCATGGAATGCTGTTCCCCTTGAAGGGATCTGTTCACATTTGGGATACTGGAAGCATAACCAGAACCATTCATGTGCACCCCACTGCCAATATTACTGCTCTTATGTCCTTGAGATGGACTTTTAGCACTAGATACTCCTTTAGAATTTCTTGTCTCTGAAAGCAATGATTCAGTATTAGCATGAACCACCTCGCTTCTCCATGTTGATGTAATAGAAGTCTCTCTTGCAATAGGTTTCACTGTTTTTAGCTGACAATTTAAAAATGTTTCAGGAGAGATATTATTACCCAGAAACCTTGACATTTCTTTTCTTGAGAAAACATTGCAGGGAGGAATCTGAGCCTTTAGAGGATCGACAGTCTCATAGATGTTAATCATTGTTCCTTCTGCATCAATGACTGCTTCCCCAGATGTCATAACTTGGATGGAAACAAGGTCATTGTTGGTCCCACAAATTTTGTTATCTTCCTTATCATTGTCTGAAGCTTCTTTGTGATGTGCTCGATTCGAACCATGTATCACATGCAAAGTCTCTTGCAATAACTCATTTGTCTCTTGTAACTTGAGCGTTTCTTCGATACTAGAAGATGTCTGAAGTTCTCCTGATCCATTTTCATCTTGCGATAATGTATCACTCACTAACCGATTTGAGACAAACTGAGATGCAAATCGAGTCATGTATTGCCGCCATCCAAAGAGCATTGCAGAAGTCCTCCAAACTCCTTCCTTACTATGAAGATAGATAGGATTTTTGTTGCCATCTGAAACTAAAGACGCAAACCTCTCAACCTGCTCCATTGAAGGTGCAGTTCCAACCTCCACTGGAAAATTTATAAACTCAACTTTCCCAGATGAAATAGCATCATCCATAGCTGCTTGATAAAAGTTATCCTTAATAGTCTCTGCCCTTAGATCAACAATGGTTTTAAATCCTCTGTCAATCAACCACTTCAGACCTTCCTCTGTCACTTGACCACCAATCCAAAAAGCTATTTCACAATCTTTAGACTCTATCTCTTCTTTAGAGGTGGACAAACAAACAGGTTGCCAATTTGCAAACAATGTATGGCATGGATGGTCGTCCCTGCGAGGGAAACCCAAATCATAACAAGCATTTTTCAACCTTTGCAGCTTCCTCCAGACATGCAGGCTTCGAAAATCGTCAGGTGTCAAATAGTTCTCAAGAGCAACATGTAAGCTCTCACAGCACCTCTTCATCTCACTCCTGAAAAGAGCAAGTGGCGGAAGTTTATCCTCCATCACACTTACATCCGCTGCACGAAAAGTATTCATAATTGAGACTCTTCCAGAAAGAACATCTTCTCTCCCTTTATTCAAAAGTGATAGAAGGCAACCGAGCACAGACACAATTTTATCCTCTACCAGTGGTTTTTCCTCAGGCGTGAAATCATATGAAACACTACATTCTCCGGTCACTGGATTGCATAAAGTGTCCATCAAAGCAGCATGTAGCCTTTCAGCTGCTCTAAAAATTCTACAATAAGCCTCAACTTCTGCAATATCCCCAGGAACTGGACCAATCCAGCGTAACTGTGAAACATCGTATGGCTGGACTCTCTTCTAATCCAAAAAAAGAAGTGTCAGATAATGCAAGAAAATCGATAATCGTCGTTAAAAAGTACACATCAAAGGATCAATGCCAAAAACTAATGTCTGCTGCTTCAAGAAGGAAGAAAAATGCAGTAATTTACCTCAAATGAACTTGTTGCCAATTACCAGTTACCATCACTAGAAAAAATATAGCCTTTGAGAAGAATAATTTTGAGCACTTAATATTATTGACGAGAATGTAGCAATTTGCATGAAGACATAGTTTGATGTCACAATGGAAGCTAAAAAAATCAGAGTCTCCAAAATTCAGTGTGAGTTAAATAAAATGCTTAAGAGAATCGAGAGACTTTCACCTTAACTGCTTCTTCATTAATTTACTTCATATTTCATAATGAAACATTCAAAAACAGTATTGATAGTGTGTATTAAAAACACACACAATGAACAAAAAGAGATAAAAACCAGCTAACTCAATGAAACCAAAGAATCGCACGGATTTTTTTACTAGTATTTTGAAGAATTGCACAAGCAAGGATCAAATCGACAAAACCCAGCCAGCCATAGGTCTTGTTTAAAACACATTAAAAATCAACACCAGGATATTGAAGTTATCTTCTCAAAGGATGACTAAAACATTATCAAGGTCCAATTGCAATGTCTAAATTCCGTGTAGGCGAAACCCAAAATCATATAAAAGAAAGACAATAGTGGTATACACAAACTGGATAACATCAAACCAAGTCTCTCAGTCGGTCATTTCATCGAACAGTATTTGTTTAAATAACACAGTAAACTTGAAACTGAAAATGAAATGAAACGAAAAAGAACCCAAGACAAAGGGAAGTGAAAGAGAATAAACCTGAGAATCCAAACCCAGATTTACAGAGAAAGACTTGGATAGCTCCGCCTTCACTACAAGCTTCAGCCTTTTCCTTACCATCACTTTCCGCTTCAACCCAAACCGAAAACCCTTCCCCTCCCCATCGATTTTGAGGGGCGAAAAAAATCCGGCCACCGGAGACAACCTACTCATGCCGACGATGGTCACGTGGCACACACATAGACATTCCACCATAGGGAAAAGTTTCGGTTTTTTTACTTTCTTTTTTAAAGTTGGAAACTATTTATTAGTATTTTTTTATATGGATAATGGGAGAATTAATTGTTGTGGACAATATCGAAGAAGGAAAATGTTGGGATTTTTGGATAGCCTCTCGTTGTGCTTTCTTGTTTCCATCAAAGAATCAAGAAATATATATTTTTGTTTGATTTTGGAAATTCTCATGTATTTTGAGGAAAAATCAGGTTATTAATGCAACTATTTAGGTTTGAGGGTGATTAAAAATTAATTAATAATTTAAAATTCATAAAGTAAATATAACGAGTTTTAATAAAATATATTTTTATTAAAATTTATTACTCTGATGTGATAGATTTTAATAAAAAGTTATTTTTTCGCGTGACGAATTTAGATACAAAAATATCTTTTTAAAACTTATCACATTCACATGACGATTTTTCTATTTATTGCAGTAAATATCGTTAATCTCAAAATAAATTTTATGTTGCCTTATTAAATAATAAATAAATCCGACATCATTATTGGGCTAAAAAAACTAATATTGAAATATTTTCTCCCTTTTTTAAATCGTATTTAACGAATTATACATTTATATTAATTTAGTTCCCCAATAATTTAAATCTATATTTCCTTATGTTTTTTTAGATTTATTTATGTCTATATTCCACATAAAAATGAGTTTAAAAATAACTTTTGAACAATGTAAATATTATTTATATCATTAATGCTACTCAATTTATTTATATCTTATTAAAAATCATATTAATAATTATTTATATCTCTCGGGAGCTTAAAATGTGTTCTTTATTGTATAAATTTTCATAAATTTATATAAAATTTACAATAAAAACAACAATCAGTAATTTCTTAAAATGGTAAACCTTTTGTATATTCAGTATCTTAATTACAAACTCATTCAGAGTGAGAAAAAAATATTTTTTTGTAAAATAAAGTTTCAATGATTAAATTATAATTTTAGAAAGATATGGGTTTTAAGTAATTTTTTATATTTTTAAAATGTACATAGAACAATTTATAGGCATTCACATGTTCGTGTTTTAAAATAAATTTGAGTCCAATTTAATCATTTAAAGATTTTTGTAATTTTATAGGGACCATTTTATAAAATATATACATTTTGAAGGAAAAAACAATTAGTTTATGAAATTCCAACAATTATATGAATTTCGTATATAATATTCAGAATATATAATTATCCAAGTTCAAAGATTACAATAGTTTTAAATAGTAAAATTTAAAATCCTAAAAACTATTACGAGAGTCCAATAGTCTATCAATACACACAAACCACATCTTTGATAAGAAATTTAAGCATATATATATAAACATTTGAAATAATTAAATATGCAACCAGACAATTTATTTCTTTATATTACCAAAGCTCCAACCCAATAATAACTCATTAGCAAAAGGATCAACATGATTATAAATAGCGACAAATATAAGATTTTATGTTAAGAGGAATGAACTTATAAATTTTTAAGGGGATAAATTTATAAAAATTTTAAAAAATAAATTATTACTAATGTAACACCCTAATCCGATACGACACAAAATCGATCGGTTAGAATGCCACACAAGACCACCAGAGGGGTCAACCCAAAAATTTTCCCCAAATACTTTTGTAAATAATAGGTTTGAAACCATTGAAATGAAGTAAATCAACATCATTAGATAAGGTTTACGTCATGAGTTCCCAAAATGAGTATCTCAAAATAATACAATCGAGTATATAAAATAAAGTTATGACTCAAATATAAGAAGGTCTATGAAATAATACATGCCCTCTAAAGAAAAGAGTCAAGACTTACTCTACTGCTCGAATTGTCTGAAATATATTCTGGGTGATATGCTCCCCGAATGCTCCTTCTAAAGATTTGCGCATGGAAGCAAGTTCCGAACGCTGAGCTCACTAGCCCAGTGCCACACTAACAACTAAGCCATACTACAAGTGTTCATTAATTTCTCATGATATTGAGTGCAATAGAGAAAGTGAGTTTATTCGTATACTTCACACTACTTTAGGATAGACATCATGGTATGGTCGGAGGGTTTCACATCTCGGGACACACATCCCTCTAATCTACCTAGGGTGAGATCCGAAATCTTTACATCAGATACAACACCCAACTAACCTACCCCTTGCAGGTGTTCGAGCCTCACGCCCTAGTTAGTCTCAAAATGCCTCGCACACTTTCTAAGGATATCCAGACATTCTATACTTCAAAGTTATCTTCATCTGCTAGAGTAGCTTGGGTGTCCTAGTCGTTTCCTCGAGCATCAACCAAGGCTAGTTTTATGTCGTCCTAATTAATAATGTTTTTAGATATAATTGTAAATTAAGATTGTTCCCACTAGTAGTCTTATTCAATGATGATTTACTGTTGTTGAGTTCCTCAATTCCACTCATAAATTCCTTGGGCTTCTTGCCCAAAAATGTATGAGGGTATCGATACTCGCCTCTGTGTATCGATACTATAGGGTTAAATTAAGCCGAGCATGGGTGGGTAGTATCGATGCCGCTGTACCAGTATCGATACAGATGAGCTAGGGTATTAATACTTGATAGGGTATTAATACCAAATTTTGCTTCGATGTTTTGAAAAATACCTCAGTATCGATACTCCTATGGGCAATATTGATACTCTACCCACGGTATAGATACTTCCATGAGTACCGACACCAAAATGATATTATGGAATTTACTAAGTTCATCTAATATCGATACTACCCTGCGAGTATCGAACCAAGCCATCAGTATCGATACTCCTTGAGGAAGTATCACTACTACTATTCTTAATTTCTCTTGTTTTTATACCATTTGAAGAGCAATATCGACACGCTTCTTCCAATACTGATACTCTAACCTAGAAATACCTTATTTGGGCACAAAATTTACTCTAAAAATAACCCTAAAGCCCTACTGAGGTCTCCAATCATTCTTAGAGTTTTTTGTATGTAAGAGAGGATCATAATAAGTCTTTAAACATGCTAAAAATGCCAACTACTTGAATATACCATGAATGTTCACATATGCTTCACCACTAAAGACTTTCTAGCTAAATGCATTCTAATGACTCACAAATGGCATGAAAGAGTTGTGAATATGTTACCTTAGCTTAATAGTTGTTGAAAATGTCCTTAAATCAACCAAGGGTCACTTTCTCTTTTCTTCTAGCCTTGGAGCTTTCTCCCATTTTTTTCACTATACAAAAACAAGGAAATTGATCACTAACTCGTTTTGGAAGCTCATGAAGGGATCCAGGACACTCCCTAAGGCTCTAAAATCTCTTAGGTATCTAAACCCCCACTAAAACCCACTTTTAATTTCCATGGCCAAAACTTGATCTCTAGGGCTTGAATAAAAGATTAAAAGATGAAGATTTCACTACTTACCTTGAAATTTCTAATTTAAGCTTGCAAAACTAAATATTTCACCTCAAATTTTGGGCTAGTAGTTTTGGGTTTACTCGAGAGGTAAGTAGACCACATGAAATTCATAATTAAAGTCGTTTGGCTTAATTGGGTTGGAATTGAACCCAACTAACCATAAAAAGGAGATTTTTGAATGGTAGAAAGATGAGGAAGAATCAAATGTGCAATTTCATCTTTTTAAAAAAGATGAAGGCTTTTATATCTCTCCATGTTCTTATTCTCTTAATTTCTTGTTTCATCCTCATTCTCTCTAAGCTCCTTAAATCAAAGGTAAGTCCTTTGAGTCATTTCCTACCTCTTTTAAGTTTCATTTTTATCCTAAACCCATCCAACAACATCATTTTTTATGATTCAAAGCTTTAGGTTCTTTGTTTACAAGAAAAATGGGGCTTTTATCATCCAAGTCTTGGTGGAGGGTGTTTGCTAGCTAAAAGAGCTTTTTTTTTCAAGATTCAAACATCAAGGTAGTGTATTTCTAATCCTTTGGAGTGTTAAGGCTTTTATAAATATGAAGAATTGCTAAGATTTGTGTAGTTGAGCATTTTAGGGTTTAAACTTAATTTCATGATTAAATGACACTTTAGATGTAAAGAAGATGTTTTATGTCACTTTAAGACCCTAAGTAACTTCCTAAAGCTTTAGCACAAGATTAGGAACCAAACTAATACATTTGAGATGATTTGTGGGTGTTTTCTGAAACCTAAATAAGACTTTTCTGGGTTCGAGTATCGATAGTGGATGAACAATATCGATACTAGATGAATTGGGGAAAAATCTAAGGATTCCAGACATGGAGTATCGATACTACTGGGGGTGTATCGATATTGCCCCTACAATATCGATACTCAGAATGTACAATATCGATACTTAGCTCAATTTTCAGCAATAAAAGCATTTTTGGTACCGATACTCATTGGGGTATCGATACTTGACCCTAGGGTATCAATATTGTAACTATAGTATCAATATTAATCACTTTGGATGGTTATAATTGACCTATTTAAGGTCTGTAATAGCTAAGAATGGCTCGTAATGGTAGAACCTAGTCCGTGAGGGACATAAATGTCCAAAGGGTCCCTAGAGACATCGTAAGAGTGTGTTACAACTGGAGTAACCATAGTAGGCGTAATGCATCTAAGTATCTTCAATTGAACACATAACAAATACCTAAGAATGAATGACCATTGTAGATATGCACTAGTAAGTGGTATGATGTAATAATTAGATTACGAAATAGCGGAGTTGCATATTGCAAGAATTTCAGTGAATGTTGAACTTACAATTGCCCCTCAATTTCAAGGGTGAATTAAGGGAAAGTGTAGTAAGAGCGATTAGAGTTTCATTACTCAGTAATGAACTCGAGTCAGATATCGGGCTAGCTAGTAACACATCCAGTGAATAGAAAACATAGTAATCGTCGTAAAATCATGAAATGCGTAGAGACTCCTCTAGAGTCAGAGAACGACTAAAACACCATCAGTAACGAATGATCAGAATAAAGTCGTTTAATAAACCAACAATAGGGGTGTTCAAAAATACCCGAGCCGATTGACCTGACTCGTTAACCTGCCGACCCGGTTAAAAGAT